AAATTTGAACCTCATAGGAACTCTATGTGGTACTAAGTCACTCGTGTATTTTACCATGCAATGCATAAAGTGTAAAATATTGTAGTAAATCATTATATATAAATGATTATGGTGTGTTTAATCTTTTTTTCATTAATTACTACATATTTTTTACACTAACAGTGTTTGCCAGCTCGCTGTATGATTACTTAAATCAGTTAAATCCATCATGTAATGCATTTCCTTCTAATTTTTTTGATAAACTAATAGATAATTGACTAAATAAACATTCTCCAAAGTTTCAATAAAAATTTCCAAGTTTTTCTTATAATTTCCGTGGTTTATATTCAATTTTTATCGATATCGATAATATCCTGATATTTCCATTGAAATTTCTATATTTTTGGACTACTGATATTTCCGATATCATCGATATTTTAGACCATAAAAGCAGTTAATGCTCTGAGGAAGAAGTGGAAGTGAAAGCATTTCACCCACCAAAATTACTATCACACATACATCAATGTACTTTTGCACTTACAATAGTTATGGCATGCACACAAAGTCTTCCTTTACGGAATCCACTCTTGCGTTTTTTTTTGTTGTGAAAATTTGATTTTTGTTATAAATAAACAAAGAATGAGAGTACCACAAAGAAAGTAGAGTTGTTTTACTTTTGTGATACTACAATTGACAATGATGCTTCCTTTCTCTGATGGATTTTACTCTTAAGTGATTTTACACTTCTCTCTCTGTCTAAGGCTTAAGGTACTGAAACGTTGGAGTGGTTAGCAACACATGAGGCACATTTTATATGGGGAATTCATACCAAACTGACATTAATGTTTTGCATGTTGAGATGAGTTGAAAGCTATTCACCTCACCATCTTCACCCACCCAGATTACAATGCCTTCCTTCTTCCGTAACTTCTATCTTTTCACTCTTACTTGTAGGCTTCACATGATGTTATAACTAGTTTGGGATTCTAATAATAATGCGGGGGTCGTGTTGTAAATTGTAAGATTTTCAGAGGTTGTTTGGTGTATGTACCCATTAAATAGTTAAATTGAATTTTTTATAAAATAGTTTTAGGTAGTGTAGGATTTTTGTATATTTTTGGCCCTATTTTTTAGCATGAATGTGAAGCTCCCTATTTTTGGACCTTCATCCTCTGGCAATAAGAAAAATGGTACACCATCACATAATAGTAGCCCATTAAGCATAAATAGTTCAACAAGACCGCTAGTACATATTTATTATAAGAATCTAATATAGTACAAGAGATTAGAAACCGTGTTTAAAGTATCGTACTCAACCATCATTAGAAGAAAAACAAAAAGTCTTTTTAAATAATTTTTGAAATATTAGGACTAATAATGAAAGCACGAAAAAAGGGCAAGAGAAACTAATCAAAGCCCTTCTATAGTTATGATTATGGAAGAGCAAAAGAACAATTTTTCTTTTTGCTGGCAAAATATGAAGAGCTAAAGCATGAGCGGGAGGGAATAGTAAGGAATTTTAGAATTATAAATTTAAGATCTCAAAATCTAAGTATGATATTAGAGAAAAAGAAAAAGAGGTTAATGACCCCAATAAAGATACCCTCCTTGAGCACAATAAAGAAAATGTAGTTGAGCAAAAATCAAAAAATTCATATTTTCTTCAAGCCTTAGCTATAGAAATATATAAGTTCCTAGCAAAAGATATTAAAAGTCATATGATTAGCTTAGAGTATAAGAAAAATACTACACTCCGGCTATATATTCAAGCATTTCTCTTTAACTTGAAAAACAATCCACAGCCACGCATAAAAGTCATTACCAAAAATTGCTCTCATGTTAACATTTACTTAGCTATTTAGAGCATAACCAAGATAATATCTTAGTTGCTACACTTCAATACCAAAAAGAAGTTATAATTTATTATATCCATATCTGGAAAAGTGTTAAGGATAATATTTACCCAGATAGAGCAAGACATAGCATAATTATTTCTCATGATGAATTGCTTAGTTCTCCAGAGTCTTAAGAATGCAAATGTTCCTACTAAGCAAGACATCAAAAAATACAGAGGAGCAACATTGACAAAACAACAATTATTTAATGATCATCATCTGCACCTCCTTCACCATTCAAACTTCTTAAAGATTTTACTCTCAGACCTTAGGCAGGAGACAATATGAGACATATGGGTTCAGGATAAGCAAGATAAGAGAACAAGTTTTTTATGAACTGTACAACCCGATAGCAGAATTTAATGACAGTGCATACTGGAACAGTTTGGGAAAAGAGGAATTACACAACATAAAAAACATGATGGAAGCATGAATCTCCTAACAAGCACAAACAACCATAATGAAGTCGTAGCTCCATGTGAACACCTCATGATAGAAGAAGCATCACCAACTTCCTTTCATGTGAAGACATCATCCCAACATCAGATGTATTATTAGTCCAAAATCTATAAAAGTAAGTCGTGCAATTGTTGGCGCTATACGAAGAAGAAGTGATCCAAGTTTTTGGAACCATATGTCAAGCAAGAAGCAAATCTCCTTTGGTGCTAGGGGTGTGCATTCAAATTGAAAAACCAAGCCCAATAGGGCTAAAAAAATTGGGTTGACAAAAAACTGGACCGAGTTGACAAAAATTGGATCGGACCATTAGTTCAGTTTTGGTTCCAATTCTTGTATTGAAAAAACCAGACAGGGTGTGTATTTTTTAATAAAATATTAAAGCCCAATGCCAAATTTCTAAGCCATAACTAATATTTTCCCAACTCCAACTCTAAATCAGCTCTTTTTTCTAGACCGAATCAACTCCTTTTGCATGAAATTGAGCCATTTGTTAACATTTAAGCCAAAAAAATTGATATTTTAGTTGGTTTTTGTAATATAAATAAATAAAATATTCATGTTTAAAATAGGAAACCAAACCAGCTTATGGGCAAATTGGACCACATTGAATCAGATAAGTTTTTCATCAAAACCAAACTGAACTGGATGAATAATGCCAATTCTGATTTCAATTTGGGTTGAGAACCGGACCGTACCCACCCCTATTTGGTACTATGTGAAAAGCAGAAATAGACTTCTTAGGAAACCTAAAATATAAATAAGGGCATTTTTATCTTACTATTACAAAATACCTCTATATATGTCATTCTTTCTGAATACAGGGCTGAATCCAGAATGCCCCAAAACTAAATAGGCTTAATTATGTACATGCCCCTTGTGCTTTCAAACTTATCTCAAATTACCACCTGTGTTTGCAAACCTCTCAAAGTACCCCTCAACCTTTTAAAAACCGTCTCACGTTACCCGTTCCGTCAGTTTTTTTGATGTTCGGTTACGAACGTTGGGCCCCACTTCCTTTTTTCTTCTTTTTTTTTCTCCTCCTTCCCCCCTCCTAATTTCAGAACAACAGCCCCTCCCCTTTGTTACTGTTCATCGCTTATTTACCCTCCAAAACTCAGAAATTTCTCCTAACCAACACAATTAGTAGCAAGAACAGCTCGAGAGGTTGAAAAACCATACCTGGATTGAAGCAAATGGTGCTCAGAATAGCTCGAACGAGCGATGGAGATTTTGGGTAAAAATCGGTCAATTTCTTGCTTGTTCCGGCGATCCAGACGGTGGTTGGCAGCGGCTGAGATGTGAGGCTGGTAGAGGACAATGTGCTGGTTTTTTTGATACCAATGCCGTCTCTTGGGGTGGCCGGAGGAGGAGATGGCGGCCCAAAAATTGTTCGGATGAACAGTAACAAAGGGGAGAGGCTGCTGTTCTCGAATGGGGAGGGGCTGCTGTTCTCGAACAATAACAAAAACTTAACAGAATGTGTAAAAAACTAACGGAATGGGTAACGTGAGACGGTTTTTAAAAGGTTGGGGGGTACTTTGAGACGTTTGCAAACACATGTGGTAATCTAAAATAAGTTTGAAAGCACATGAGACATGTATATAAGGCCATCTCTAGTTATAGGGCTAAATGTCACGACCCGACTCCCCTAGCACGATATTGTCCGCTTTGGGCCCCCCTCTCTGCCCTCACGGTTTTGTTTCTGGGAGCTCACGAGCAACTTCCCAGTGGGTCACCCATCCTGGGATTGCTCTAGCCTCCAACTCGCTTAACTTCGGAGTTCCCTCGACTCCGAAGCCAGTGAGCTCCCAAAAGGCCTCTTGATAGGAAGAGAAGTGTCCACACATTTAAGCACTTCACCTTTCCCTCCCCGAGCGATGTGGGATTGCTCACCGTTCTTGTTTCCCCAAGACACGGGTCTTACAATCCACCTCTCTTGGGGCCCAGCATCCTCGCTGGCACACTTCCGGTCGGGGTCAAGCTCTGATACCATTTGTCACGACCCGACTCCCCTAGTACGATATTGTCCGCTTTGGGCCCCCCTCTCTGCCCTCACGGTTTTGTTTCTGGGAGCTCACGAGCAACTTCCCAGTGGGTCACCCACCCTGGGATTGCTCTAGCCTCCAACTCGCTTAACTTCGGAGTTCCCTCGACTCCGAAGCCAGGGAGCACCCAAAAGGCCTCTTGATAGGAAGAGAAGTGTCCACACATTTAAGCACTTCACCTTTCCCTCCCCGAGCGATGTGGGATTGCTCACCGTTCTTGTTTCCCCAAGACACGGGTCTTACACTAAAAATTTAGCCTATCAAAATATTAATTTTTTAAAGAATAGTACATGGCTAAATTTTTCCATCTCCAGCCATGCATGACTATATTTTAGGAATCTTCATATTTTATTATTTTGAAAAGGGGAGTGGAGAGTATTTTAATGATTGGTTGTTGAAAAGCAAATGAATGAAGCCCACTATAAATTTGGCCTAGGCTAAGTCAGACTACATTTGGCCCAGTTGGAGGGCTAAAGGGCCAAATGTGGCCTTCCAAATTTGACCAAAATTATTTAGCCTATAGCTGAAGATGAGTTTTGCATTAATTTAGGGCTATATTTGGGATATAGCCCATGACTGGAGATGGCCTAATTAGCCTATTAAATATTAAAAAACCGCCCCGTCCTCAAGCCTGTTGCAATCCACCAAGTAGGCAAAAGGGGGATCAAGATTGGCTTGGCAAACCCATAAGTCAAGTTCTTCAAAGTGTCTTCTCTCCACACTCTATTCTCCAGGAGCTCCTACCCTACGCGTTATCCATCAGGTTCTCCTTCCCTTTCCCTTATTCATTATTTTGTCTTCTATTTTATTTTTATTTTTGCTTTAATTTGCATATCATGCGATTTTTCTCCTCTCAATCTTTCTGGATCTGCTGTTTGATTTATGTTGAATTTTCCCGATTCCTGCAAATATTATTGGAAATTTCCTCTAAAGCTGTGCAATCGATACACGTTTCTCAGCAACCAAACAGAGGATTATTCCCGGTTAAATTACCACAAAAATTAACAAAAAAAGAAAAAAAAAAATCATTGAACAAAGATTGCCTGATGATGATTGATTGAAATTATTCTTTTTGCATTTTGAATTACCCTGGTGTTGTTTAGCTCCAGCTTCCCTCCAGTGGGAAAGCTTTCGAATTCCAGCTACAAGTACAATTAAACAAAAGATTAAGCAAGAAGCTTCATATAGGGATTTATGAAGGCAAAAGTTTCTTGTTGCTAAGATAGCCAGTTCTCAATTCGAGTTTGGGTCTATGCAATTTGAGCCAAGTTCTTTATTCCCATGTAGTTACAATTTTTACAATTTAAGGATACATAATTTGTCACAAGTCAAGCGTACATCTTTAATTTCGTCAAATTGATGGAACATATTTTGAACATTTTTGAGTGGCTGTCGTCATTTTAACTTTTTCAAATTGCATTGCAGATCGTTGTGCTAGAGTCTAAACGCTAGAGAGGTTGGGACTCGTGGACTGTTGGGAGAGAAGAGAAGGTTAACAAAAACCAATGTCGTATCTACTGCCTCACCTCCACTCTGGATGGGCCGTGGATCAGGCCATCCTCGCTGAGGAGGAGCGTCTTGTCATCATTCGTTTCGGCCACGACTGGGATGAGACCTGTATGCAGGTAGGTTCCAACTCCCCCTTGCAACTTTCATTAACCCCCTAAACCCCCAATTGCTCATTTGTCTTTTTCATGATTAATTCATTGACTTATTTAGAAGACATACAACAAACGAGTTATTATTCTTTAGCAAATATGTCGCTCACTTTGTTTATTCCATTCATTTATACGTATATGCATATTGTATGATTTGAAGACTTCGTATAAATCTTCCTTTGCTCTATGCTTGCAAATTGAGGTAGTTCATGTTAAGTTTTGCACCTTTTAATTTACCAGGAAGTTTGAAGTTGGAACTTTTTTAAGGGAGATTAGTTAAAAAAAAGAAAAAAGTTGCATAGACTAATTTGGGTTAATTTTATTAAGCAAGAAGCAGTCTTTAACTTCCATTCTAACATCAAATTTTGAAAGTCTCCAAACTGACTCCCAAGCAAGCTTAAGTATTAAGTTATTTCATAAATCTTATATCTTGGAAAGGTTTGGAGGTAGAACTCAAAATTGATCATTATATTGACTCAAGCATGAACTTGTTTGCTTTCGTTTCTCTCTATTTTTAGGGCCCGTTGGATGGGGAATAACGTTTATTTTTAATATATAATATATGTTGATTTCTGAGCACAACAATACATTCTTCGTTTGAAGCAAAGCCTAGACTCTGGAGGGAGAGAGAAGCGCTGTTCTTTTATCCCTGTTCATTGTGGTGCTTAGAAGTTTGATGGGCCATCATGGCCATGCAGAATAGTACGATTTATAATCACCTTAAATTTTGATAATGTATATGTCTCTTATCCTTATTTCATTTTCATAACTGTTTCCATATAAATTGACTTTCTTTGTTAACCCTGATTTTGAATGCTGCTGGTTAATTTCTGGTTTGTTATCTTGTCCTGTTTATATAGATGGATGAAGTGCTAGCTGCAGTTGCTGAGACACTCAAAAACTTTGCTGTGATTTACCTTGTTGATATCACGGAGGTTCCTGATTTCAACACAATGTATGAGCTCTATGACCCATCCACTGTCATGTTCTTTTTCAGAAACAAACACATTATGATAGACCTTGGTACTGGGAACAACAACAAGATCAACTGGGCTCTCAAGGACAAGCAAGAGTTCATTGACATCGTTGAGACAGTGTACCGTGGGGCAAGGAAGGGACGCGGTCTCGTCATTGCTCCCAAGGATTACTCCACCAAGTACCGTTACTAAGCCCTGCTGACAATGTAATTCATTTCAGACAAAACCTTCTAGTTTGGATGGAGTTAATAGGTGATTTGTGGACAGAAACACAAGTACTGCACAGTTTGTTGCATGGACTAGGGAAGATAATGTCTCTAAAATTCTGTATTGTTAATATTTAGTCATCTTAATGCGATACCGATGCTTTGTTTGTGAAGGCTGTTACCTCGCAGATCCAAAATATGCATGATCTAGAAGAAAACTAATGTTTTATGGCACTAATTAAAATCTCACTTTCTTTTTTTTTAATTTTTGATGAAGAATAGTCTCACTTATTAAATGCATGATAATCGTATACAGATCTTAAATCGGATAATTTTAGTCCCGTCAATTCAGACAATATTCAGTGTCATATTTTAACCCATGCAAGTGCAACTTTCCGTTTCAGCTTCTATGAAAGTGAGTGTTGCTTGTGTTTAATTTAATTAATAATTAGTCAAGTTTAATCCATGCAAGTGCAACTTCCGTTTTCCTTGTTATTTTCTTGGTGATATTCGAGAATCTTTTGACATCTTCAAACCTTCTTGCATTGTTTATTTGTCTTTACCGACAAGATTTCAAACGATGGTTGTGTTCTTTTCCAAAAACAAAAATAAAAAATAAAAAAAGATTTAAAAATAAATAAAAAAACCTAAGACGATGCAGTTATCGTTTCATTTGCATCTTCATAATGTCAAAACATGCGTGTGTGCTAATTGGTTGCAATTCGAGGACCCATTCTTACTTCCATAATTAATTAAACGAATGAAAATCCTACATGAAACCATGTGAGTATCATATGCAAAGGGACTTGACACCTCTACCATTAAACTTGGCAATATTGCATACGATCCGTTAACACGACACAAATTTGCACGAAATTATCAGTATTTGGATTGAGCTTACTAGGTCGGATTGAAAATGGGTGAACCCATTAACCACCCGTTAAGTAAACGGGTCGTGTCGGGTTCATTCGCGAATATTCGCTATCCACCCGTTAAGGAGAGTAGTTTTGTAATTTTGTATCACAATTCATATTTTTTTTAAAAACACCCACCTAACTCACTTTGTTTTTTATTATTCTTCTTTCTCTCACAAAATCTCTCGTCTTCACTTTATTTATTTTTTATTTTTTATTATTCTCTCTCTCTCTCTCTCTCTCAATCTCTTTTTCCTCTTCTTGTTTTCTTCTTCTTTCATGGCATGGTTTTCTTTTTCTTGATATTTCCCAAGTTTTCATCTTCTTTATTTATATTTATTTCATTCTCTCTTCTCTCTGTGTCTTTTTAGAATTCAAATTTCTTTTCTTTAAATGTAAAAGTTGAGAGCCAGTGAAGAAGTCTTCACTGTCTATCAATGTGGGTTGGGGTTTTGAAGGGTGTTTATGGTGTTTATGAGATGGATATTTGGGGGAGAGGACAGAGAGAAGGGGTTGATGGCTAAGCTCGGTGATAGTTGTTGGTTTTTTTTTTTCTTGGTTTATTCTTAACGGGTCGTGTCGGATATTCGCAAATTGTAACGGTTCGTGTTTGAGTCTAGTATTTGTCACCCGTTAACTTAACGGGTCGTGTCATGTTAACCCTTTAAGTTAACTGGTTGACATGAACACGACCCAAAACCCGTTAGCACGACCCATTTGCCAGGTCTATCTACCATGCTACAACATTTATTAATACTGAGGCTGAGACCTACAAAACAACTCTTTTAAGTGTTGGAGGGTCTTCGGTTGGTACCGTACCGATGCCTTCGATACTTAGTTTTTGCTCTCTTGCAGCCACCTCTCTTGGATGGAAATCTAATAATTTGGTAAGAGCTTAGGTGGAAATTTAATAATGTGTTTATGAATACTTGTCTTTACAATGAATGGAATTGAAGTATAATCATATATACAACTTGCAAAGAACACGCATTGGTGAGGACTTTGGGAGCTTAATTTGTGCAACTTTGAACGACTTGACTTGGTTAATTCCACAGAGAAAGAGAAGACTTTGTAAGATTCTTTAGAACCAACCACTAACCTTATACTAAAGCAATTGACATGGGAAACTTAATACTGCAACCAGTTTTCTGAAGAACTAACAGAAAAAGAAAGAAAAAAACAGGAAAGAGAACTTCTTCAATGAATTTTGCACTTTGCTTTCTTCTTGGCATTGCATTTGTTACTGCTGAAGCACAACAAATGCAGTCGAATGTAAGCCGAGGCTCTTCTTTAACACCCACCACCAACTCCTCATGGTTGTCAAGTTCTGGCCTATACGCCTTTGGATTTTACAAGCAAGGCAATGGCTATGCCGTGGGTATATTTCTTGCTGGAATGCCCCAACACACTATGGTTTGGACTGCAAATCGAGATGACCCTCCAGTCTCCAGTAATGCTACCTTGCTCTTCACAAGTGACAGGTGTGGGAGCAGATATTTTCGTCTCCAATCACAGCTCGCCACGTGGAAAAGAAGATTATCTCTTTTAATTAATTAACTGAACCAGTTTATCTGGCCAATTAATTAATTGGGATAAATATCTTAATTAACATGATATTATCTTTATTTAATAAGATAATATCATTAATTAAGATATTATCCTAATAAAGAGAAGATAATGTCATTATCTCATATATTATCTCCATAAAAAGAGATAATATCATTTAATTA